TCAGCTTTTGTCTTCTCCAGATGTTAACTGATGGACTGGAGTGCTGTGGATTACTTGTGGATTATTGTGATGTTTTTATCAGCTGTTTGGACTCTCGTTCTGACGGCACCCATTCACTGCAGAGCATCCATTGCTGGGGGTTGAATACATTTTCAGCAAATTTTCATTTTCAGCTGAACTATTCCTTTAAATAAGACATTATTTGTGTCTGTAATGTTTGTAGATCAGCGAAGGGAAGGTCCTTCATCTCCTGTGAATAATCAGAGCGTCACGCTGCTGCTCCAGTCTCCAGCCGTGAAGTTTGTGGCGCACCCAGAATTCTTCACTGTCCTCCATGCTAACTACGTAAGTCACAATGAAAAGTTTTCATGTGCATTCTTGTGGTTTGTCCTGCAGTAAGCGGATTCAAACCATTTGTAGCCAGTGCACTGAATTCACTCGAATGAAAGTGGCTTTATTTGCTTCAGTGAATGCAGACACAGGACATTCTGACGGCACCCATTCACTGCAGAGCATCCATTGCTGAGGGTTGAATACATTTTCAGCAAATTTTCATTTTCAGCAGAACTATTCCTTTAAATAAGACATTATTTGTGTCTGTAATGTTTGTAGATCAGCGAAGGGAAGGTCCTTCATCTCCTGTGAATAATCAGAGCGTCACGCTGCTGCTCCAGTCTCCAGCCGTGAAGTTTGTGGCGCACCCAGAATTCTTCACTGTCCTCCATGCTAACTACGTAAGTCACAATGAAAAGTTTTCATGTGCATTCTTGTGGTTTGTCCTGCAGTAAGCGGATTCAAACCATTTGTAGCCAGTGCACTGAATTCACTCGAATGAAAGTGGCTTTATTTGCTTCAGTGAATGCAGACACAGGAGTGCTGTGAGGATGCTACTGCGATCAGTTCAGCGCTCGTGAACGGACACTGATCAAGTAGATTGCACTTTAGTTGAAGGGTGATATTGATTGAACTATTTGCAGATTCCTTCTTTATTGATCCCATAAGCACTCCTGCTGCCCTGCAATAGCAAAGCAGACAGATAACAGTCATTAACAAGTCAAAGATAAAGCGTGCGGAGACAGGAGTGGATCTGTGGGAGCGGATGTTTGTGTTCAAGTGCCTGTACACTTCTTCACAATATGGGACAAATGTTTTTTGTTGTTGTTGTTTTTCTGTGTCTGTGTTGTGCTCTTTATTCTGTTTCAAGTTATTTAATGCAGGTCACATACACAGATCTCACTCGCAAAAATACATGGCATTGATTGAATATTCATGATTGTACTGAAGTCTCTCTGTGTGTCACACACACACACAAACTCTTACACACACACACACACAAACTCTTACACACACTCACTCACACACTCACTCACCTGTCTTTTTTCTCCTCAGGGTGCGTATCGGATTTTTACTAACAGCACCTGCCTGAAGCACATGATTCTGAAAATACGGCGAGATGCTCGCAACTTTGAGCGATATCAGCACAACCGTGACTTCGTCACTTTCCTAAACAAATTCGCCGATACTCAGCTGGAGCTCCCGAGAGGCTGGGAGATCAAGACAGACCTGCAGGGCAAGGTGAGCTGCTCCAGACACACACAACCACTGCTTCAGAACGGCTTCATACACACAACCACTGCTCCCCATCGATGAGCAGCTGTGTACTTATGGAAAATAATAACGGGTAGACTAGCATAATGTGAAACTGCTTTAGTGTTTACATTCAAATTAATGACATGTTTGTGTGTGATCTTTTGCTGTGGTAGTCGTTCTTTGTGGACCACAACAGTCGTGCGACGACCTTCATCGACCCCAGGATTCCCCTTCAGAACGGACGTCTGCCGAATCACCTCACACACAGACAACACTTACAGAGACTGCGCAGCTACAGCGCCGGAGAGGTGCAGCACACACACACACACACACACACACACTCACACACTCACTCACACACACACTCACACACTCACTCACACACACACACACACACACACACACTCACTCACACACACACTCACACACACTCAGGTTTGTTTTTATGGTTTATGGGGACTCTCCATAGGTGTAATGGTTTTTATACTGTACAAACCGTATTTTCTATTGCTCTACAGTGTACAACAACCCTACCCCTCACAGGAGACTTTCTGCATTTTTAGATTTTCAAGAAAACTCATTCTGAATTATTTATAAGCCTTTTGAATTACGGGGACACTGAAAATGTCCTCATAAATCACCTTCTC